AGCTTACTTTATTTTAAGAATACAGTATATATAAATATGGCATACAGAATATGTGTTAATTGACTATGTTATCAGCAAGGCTGATAATTGACTATGTTATCAACAGTAGGCTGTTAGTAATTAAGTTTTGGGGAGAGTCAAAACTTACACATGGGGATTTTCAACTACATGGGGAGGGTGTTAATGACACTCACCCCCACACTGTTCAAGGGTCAACTATATAAACAAAAAGATACACATTAAACACATTAGATTGATCTCCTTTGTTTTTGTTTCAGGTTGGCTCATGCTGTGCAGGGCTTGAACTCACAACCCTGAGATCAAGTCCTGAGCTGAGATTAAGAGTTGGATATTTAACTGCCTGAGCCACCCACGCACCCCAGATTGAACTTTGTAAGAGGGAATGGGAAAATGGACTTAAATGGAATAAATAATAATAAATAAGAGAAAGCCCTTCCACGGCCCAAGATAATTCCTGTGTTAGGAACCACAGAGTTTGATTAACTCTGCATCTGAGGTTCCAAACTGTGAGGAGTACAGAGGCAAAGGAATCTAAGAAACCAACATTTAAAAAAAAAAGAAAGAAAGAAAAAAAAGAAACCAACATTTAAAAAGGGGGGTGGCACTCAACCTTACTAGTTAGTAATCAGGGAAATGTTAAAACTGTACTATTTTAACTCAACTCTCTCTCTCCCTCTCTCTGTGTCTCTAAAAGAATGACATCTCGGGGTGCATGGGTGGCTCAGTCAGTTAAGCATCTGCCTTCCTTCAGGTCATAATCCCAGGGTCCTGGGATTGAGCCCCACATTGGGCTCCCTGCCCAGCGGGAAGTCTGCTCTTCCCTCTCCCACTCACCCTGCTTCTCTGGCTGTGTCTCTGTCAAATAAATGAAGTCTTCAAAAAAAAAAAAAAAAAAAAGGACATCTCCAATGCTGGCTAGACTATGAAAAGAAAGAGCTACTCCTATATTTCTGTTCGGAAAGTAAATTCCTTCCGCCTTTTGGAAGTAGTATTTTGGCAGTAGCTATTGAAATTTAAAATACTCATACACTGTGATCCTACAATTTCACATGTAGAACTCAGTCTCATAGGGGCAGAAAGCACCAATGTGGAAAGATATATGTATAAGTCTATTTACTGGTCCATTATTAGCAGTGGTATAAAAGGTGGAAATATTTTGATAGTCCATCAGTTGGGAACTGATCAAATAAGTAAGTTCTATAAACTCTGTGGACCACTCTGCAGCTATTAAAGGAATGAGGTAGGGCGCCTGGGTGTCTCAGTGGGTTAAGCCTCTGCCTTCAGGTCAGGTCATGATCTCAGGGTCCTGGGATCGAGCCCTGCATCGGGCTCTCTGCTCAGCAGGGAGCCTGTTTCCCCTCTCTCTGCCTGCCTCTCTGCCTACTTGTGATCTCTCTCTCTCTGTGTGAAATAAATTAAAAAAAAAAAAAAAATTTAAAAAAAAGGTGGGGTGCCTGTGTGGCTCAGTGGGTTAAAGCCTCTGCCTTCAGCTCAGGTCATGATCCCAGGGTCCTGGGATCGAGCCCCACATCGGGCTCTACCCTCAGCAGGGAGTCTGCTTCCTCCTCTCTCTCTCTCTCTGCCTGCCTCTCTGCCTACTTGTGATCTCTGTCTGTCAAGTAAATAAATAAAATCTAAAAAAAAAAATTGTTAAAGGAATGAGTTAAACCTTTATCTTTTCACCTAAGAAAAAACCATGAGGTACTTAACTTTTCACTATGTAAGAAGAATATTTGACTAGCATAGTCCCAGTTTTATAAAAATACCACCACCCACATATATGTACTTGTATATTTCCATAACCATGGCAATAGTTGTAGAAGATATATACACTACTGGTTACTGAGGGAAAATAGGCAGAAAGAAAGTTGAGGAAAATTATTCTTTCCTCAAACCTTTTAACTTGGTTTCAAGAGTTGTAGAAAGCGTGTGTTAACTGAATATTCTTAAAATCTAAAATAGCGTTTTAAAATGTTTGCAGGGAAATGAATAATCATAGAACTGATGCTTTCATGTCTTCCTTACAGACACAGAGAAGTGGAGAGTAAAGAAGGTACTGGTCTACATAGTAATTACTGAGGAATAGCATTGCTGGTCCCTCCTTGATACTCCTCGTATCTTGCTGACACAGTTCCTTATGTCCTACCTGTACAATCATTTCTTGGAGCTCCTTTGCTTCCAATCCCCTTTTTAAAGTACATTAAGAAATACACTAACAACTGTCCTCCAAATGAATATGGAATATGTGTGTATTAGAGAAATGAGAGGTATGGAACAAAGAGAAGCTTTTTTATAAAAGCAGAAGGTTTAGGGACGCCTGGGTGGCTCAGTTGGTTGAGCAGCTGCCTTCGGCTCAGATCATGATCCCAGCGTCCTAGGATCGAGTCCCACATCGGGCTCCTTGCTTGGCGGGGAGCCTGCTTCTCCCTCTGCCTCTGCCTGCCATTCTGTCTGCCTGTGCTTGCTCTCTCTCCCTCTCTCTCTGACAAATAAATAAAAAATCTTAAAAAAAAAAAAAAGCAGAAGGTTTAAAGATTTGTAGCAAATTTTCCTCTCTTTTCCCATATTAAGTATAAATAGCACTAACAGCATTCATAATATCTAATATCAAATCAACATTAGATAATATAACAAAATCTGATCATTTTCATTGTCAGAGAAATGCCTTATCCAGGAAAGTCTTACTTTATTCCTGTCCAAGGCTAAACTCTCTTGAAAAAAGTCATTAACAGCAGTTTTTCCTTCCAGATGTTTCCAAGGTCTTTTTTGTTCCCTACACCTGTCTTGCATTGGGGATGATTCTCCAGAGGCTTCTTCAGAGTGACGCTGCAGCTGCGCCAGGCGCCGAGTGAGCTTCAGAACTTCCTGCTGCAGGCCTTCGGTCCTCTGTGGGGAGAAGGAGAGCCAAGACTCCTGAGGGCCCACAATTTCTATTTCATTTCAAAACTATGTGCAAGGGCGCCTGGGTGGCTCAGTGGGTTAAGCCTCTGCCTTTGGCTCAGGTCTGATCCCAGTGTCCTAGGATCGAGCCCCGCATCGAGCTCTCTGCTCAGCGGGGAGCCTGCTTCCTCCTCTCTCTCTCTGCCTGCCTCTCTGCGTACTTGTGATCTCTGTCTGTCAAATAAATAAATAAAATCTTTAAAAAAAAAAAAACTATGTGCAAGTGCTACCGACACCGACACTGTAGTAATGTTACGTTACTAACTAGGTGAGTAGGGAAGATTTAAGATGCAACAGATATCAGCTGGTTTTAGAAAAAGAAATGGACAGGTCTGGAACAAGAGCAAGACGTGAACATGGGGAAGCAAAAGAAAGCAAGGAAGTATGCGACAATGAAGCGAATGCTTAGTCTCCGAGATCAGAGGCTTAAAGAAAAGGATAGATTAAAACCTAAAAAAAAAAGAAAAGAAAGATCCCAGTGCACTCAAGGAAAGAGAAGTCCCCCAACATCCTTCCTGCTTATTCTTCCAATATAACACTCAGCTGGGCCCACCTTACCACATCCTGGTTGATACCAACTTTATCAACTTTTCCATTAAAGCCAAACTTGACTTAGTACAGTCAATGATGGACTGTCTTTATGCCAAGTGTATCCCTTGTATAACTGACTGTGTAATGGCTGAAATTGAGAAACTGGGGCAGAAGTATCGAGTGCTCTAAGGATTGCCAAGGATCCAAGATTTGAACAATTACCATGCACACACAGAGGAACCTACGCAGATGACTGCTTAGTGCAGAGAGTAACTCAGCACAAGTGTTACATTGTGGCCACAGTTGACCGAGACCTTAAACGAAGGATCCGGAAGATTCCTGGAGTTCCCATCATGTACATTTCTAACCATAGGTACAACATTGAGCGGATGCCAGATGATTACGGAGCCCCTCGGTTCTAATTCTTAAAAGATAGAGTTCCTCTGCCTTCCTTTACCAACTTTTTCTATTGCCGGTTCATATTAGCAACATGCTATAGCATGAATTATTCTTCTTACCCTTTTCCTGTTATGAGCTGAGTATGGTTAAATACACTCACTTTTTGGTATTGTTTTGAGATTGATAATTTGTATCATTTTAAATATTGTTGCATTTTTTTTATAAATCAGATGATTGCTCATATAAAAAAAAAGAAATGGACAGGTCTGATATATAAAATGAGACATTTTAGTGAGCACTGAGAAATAAAATTGTATAATGAATTTTAAGCAAAAAGTGAAAGAAAAAATTGGAACTCTACAATAAACAGAGGACAGCAGATTTTTCGAACACATTTAACCTAAGCAATACCTATCTTCGTTTGAATTTTAAGTGAAGGGGCATGAGATGGTACTCAATTGATGTGGACATGACAAGAAGATAGAGCCACTGAAACTTGCTCGTTCAGTCTTTTCATAGAGTTGGCCAATACATTCAAAGAATGACCTGAAAATGGATTTACTGCACTGGCGGGCCTGAGCAGTATTTAGGCATGATGGACACATTATCTTCACCATACCACCATACCACTATTTTTAAGCCAGGATTCACTGAGCTTACCCTGAGCTGTACTAAGCATTTATCATGTATTAATCCATTTAACCCTTACCACTCTGTGAGATAGGAGCTATGCCCTTGCAGTCCTCAGCCCCACACCATCCCACCAAATTTTACAAATGAAACTGAGGCCCAGAGAGAATAAGCAATCTGTCCAAGAGCACACAGCTGGTAATGGCTGAGCTGGGATTCATACCTGGGCTCTCTGCTCTTAATAAAAACACTACACTACCTCTGCTGTAATAATGGGCATCCTTTTTTCCTTTTATCATTGTAGTAGTAAAAATAAAATCAAAGTTAAAATTCAGAGCCACAGAATTTACTAAATCAGCTAATATCAAAATTGACACGTTAAAAGTAACAAATTTGAAAGAATGACTTATCTGTCAATACACTTACAGACTTCCAAGATTGTTCTTTTGCACCAATTTCCTGAATCCTCTGTTTCACAGCCTCCTCGGTAGCTGGTATGGGGACAACATTGTTGCTCAGAAGAGTAGCCAACTGACTGAGGAATTTCTGGTAGTGGGATCGTGCACTTTTGGTTTCCCAGCTGAATGAATGTGGAGGTCTGTCCAACTCATATTTTTGTTTTTCCTTATGGATTGAATCTTCTTGACACTTATCCCAAATTTTCTGCCCATCTTTTGGTCCTTCAGAATGAAAAATGTCTCTTTCAGAGTTCTTGGTCAGGATATCTTCACCTTTATCCTAAATATGCCAACACACATGTTAAACTTCCCATTTGGAATTTAATATGATTTTAATTCCTTTTTTGAAATATAAATTTACGGGGCGCCTGGGTGGCTCAGTGGGTTAAGCCGCTGCCTTCGGCTCAGGTCATGATCTCAGAGTCCTGGGATCGAGCCCCGCATCGGACTCTCTGCTGTCTAGGGGAGCCTGCTTCCTCCTCTCTCTCTGCCTGCCTCTCTGCCTGCTTGTGATCTCTCTGTCAAATAAATAAATAAAATCTTTAAAAAAAAAAAAAAAAAAAAAGAAATATAAATTTACTTCCTTTTTTGATACATAGTCACAATACAAAATTTGAGGAGCAAGGCCCTCAGGAGAAATAAAGTGTTATGGAGTCATAAGAGAGACAAGGGCATACTTAAAAGAGCAAACTAGAACATCAAAGAGGTATCAGAATGATCATATGGAGAAACTGGTTTGAGAACATAGGAAATTGAGCTTGGAGAAACAGCGACCAAACAGCCTCAGTTAATGAAGTTATACTCTTTACAGACTATTTTGAGCTAATAAATATAGAAAGAATGACAGAAATTTTAAAATCATCATTTTGCTTCCAATAAAATAACTGATTCGGGCTAGGATTATCAATGAATGTTAAGACAGTTAAGTGAAAAGTTGGGAGGGAAATGGATATTTCCATAAAGACTTCATTATGGTTATAGAACATCATTTAGTAGTAACCACTTTGATGATGTAAAAGTATAAACAAAATAAGTTCCACTTCTTTCCCCCAACATTTCCCTTGTGCTCCTCTAATCATCCTGCTTCCATTGTAAATAGCCTTAGGCGGGGAGGGTGGGTGGCAAGGGATGATGATACTTGTATTTCTTTCCCAATCTCCCATGGGAATATTCTACCTTTATAAATTCTAAATTTCTTTCCACTTTCTTGACACCTTCAACTCTGGAAGCTAAGTAAATAGGTTCTGTTTCTGGGCTTTTTGTCATGTGAAACTGAGAAATAGAAAGAGAGCTAGAATTTTTGAATTAATGATAGGTTTGCATCACTAAAAGGCTAGAATAGGCAGATTAAGAGGGCAATGGGAGTAACGGTCAGGGTTGCAGGAATATTAGTTTGGGAGAGGTTTTTAAGAATGTGACAGATTAATGAGAGAAGTGAAAAAAAAATGGGAAGTGTTACTGTGAATTACTTGAGGGGGCAATTAAAAACTGGAATTACTTTAAACTACTTTAAAAGTAGTTGCTGAATTTTTTTAAATGGAATTTTTTAAATGTCAGATCACATTAATGGGATTATAATGGACCTTGTCTTATATTCAAGTTATATAATAAACTTAAAGTCTAAGGATTTCAAAATAAACTTTCACCACTTCCTTGACAATAGAGTAGATCCCATCCTCCAACATTCTTCTATAAAACCTCTACCCATCCTGTGAATTGCGACTAAGGACCAGACTTGTCTCTTCCTTCCAAACCCAACTCATTCCATAGTTCTAGATTTCAAGGTCCAATATAGATGCTCCACCAATTTAGCTTCGTGATCCCTGTGCCTTGATTTGAATGACTTTTGCCTACACCTCTCCTCAACCCTTACATTTAGAGCCCAAAACCCCCAGATGTTGTCAGCAGCAGGAAGTAACCCACACCCAAAATGTAAAACTCCAACACTTCATTCTCTAACTACCACTCCTCCTCCCAGTTCTTTCTCAGCTCAGTTCTGTTCTGCAGTATCAGAGACCTTAGATCTACCCTCTGTCATCTCTCTGTATTCAGGAAGGCTTTCAGTCAACCACATAGCACAGCTTTCTCTGATCCTCTATAAGAAGCAGATCAAAAAGCTACTCAATATTTGCCAGTTATCTCTTGGACTAACACAGAGTAATACAAATCCCGTTTCATTAAAAGTCAATCAAAATTTATTTTCACCTTCATCATGAAGCTAACCAAGGAATCTTCTTGTCCTTTCATATTCATGTAAGGGATGAATCCATCAGTACCTGCTAACTTTTTCTCCAAAAGGCCTGCTTTTCGTTCTGCCTTTTCTCTTTCAAACAGATGTACTCTGTGTAAGATATCAATAGGTAACAACAAACCAACTCAATTTTCAAACTTCAATTAAAAATAATTAAAAGAAGGGCGCCTGGGCGGCTCAGACGGTTAAGCGTCTGCCTTTGGCTGAGGTCATGATCCCAGGGTCCTGGGATCAAGCCCGGCATCGGGCTCCCTGTTCGGTGGGAAGCCTGCTTCTCCCTCTCCCACTGCTTGTGCTCCCTCTCTCGCTGTGTCTCTCTCTGTCAAATAAATAAAATCTTTAAAAAGTAAAAATAATAATTAAAAGAAATAATCCCCACTTAAAATATATTAAATAAGTGTATCAAGTAGAAATGTACTTACTGTGAGAAGAGCTAATAGTTACCCAATTATTTTTAGGGAGAGACTAGAAATGACAGAGAAACGGAGAGAAAACAATCCAGTGGTTAATCATCTAGATGTTCCCCTGGGGAAGGTCAATTTTTAAACCATCCTTTTCATGGGGAAATTTGAGCATGAATATCTTGCCTGCTGCTATTGGTAACACTGTGATGATCAGGAGGTTCCAGAGGGATACAAGTACTCCTATTTTAATAATACCTGATGGGCTCTTCTACTGGGATTTGGTGAGAGAAAAGGGAATTAGAATAATGATGCAGCAGTAGAGAATAGCATATGTAAAAGTTTTTTTTTAATCAAATATACAAATAGCTAATTATTTGGGTTTTGTTTTGATTACTAATTGATAGGTATTGGTAATATTTTCTACCCCATACCTATAGCTAAGTTAAAATTTCAATCTATCTTCTATGTTTTTGGGTTTTTTTTCCTCTTCTGTCTAGTAATTATAGCTTACAGAATTACTGCATTTGAGTCAGTTCAAAAGAAATTATTCATATCATCCAAATAGAAAATTTTACCTCAAAAGGTTATATTAAAGACATGCAGGACACATGCAAAAGGTCTAACACACCTGTAACTATAACCCTAGAGTAAAGTAAAGACACAGTGGGACAAAAACAATATTTGAAAAAATAATTCCCAAGATTCCAAACCTGATGAAAGACATAATTGATAGATTCCATAAATTCTGTAAACCCTAAGCAGGATAGATACAAAGAAAGCCACACCAAGACACATCATAGTCAAATTGCTACCAACAACAAAAAGCACGCATTATTCCCTTCAAAGGTACAGCAATGAAACTGATGACTAACTTTTCAACGGAAACTATAGAAATCAGAAGATAATCAGATGACATCTTAGAGTGCTATAAGAAAAAATATTAGCCAGAATTCTATACTCAGTTTAAAAAAAGCCACTCAAAAAAAAAAAAGAAAGAAAATGAAATAATATAGTTTCAGAAAAAAAAAAAAAAATGGAAAAAACTGTCAGAAGAAATGCATTAAAAGAAACAGCAGAAGATGTCCAGTCCAAGATGGTGAAATGGGAAGACCTTGGGCTCACCTCCTCCACGAAGGCACCAGACCTACATCTCTACGTATGGCAATTCTGCCTGAGGGGGAGTTGAGGGCTGTCTGAGCAGTTTTTGCACAACAGAAGATGGGAAGACCACGTGGAGAGGCAGGAGAGATAGAGACGCCTTGACTGATACATCAGCAAGCTCTGGGTCACTGGTCCACACCAGCCGCAGATGCCCTGGGGCCTGGAGGGATAGCTGGAGGTTAGAAAAGCAACTGGAATGTGGAGGAACTAGCCCTGGAACCCTGCCCAGGGTGAGGGAGCTACTGGAACTCTCTATATGTCAGAGAGGCTGGCAGGTGGCATAGTTTGTGCTCCCCCTCCACCTTGGTGATGCGGATGGGAGCAGGGTTCCAGATGCTGTGATTGACCTGCTGCCTCAGCGAGCACTGGGTGCCTGGCCCATACCAGCCTCAAATGCCCTGGGGCATGAAGGAACAACCACCGTGTGTAAAGGAGCTAAGTCTAGAATCTTGATGGGACGTGAGGGAACAGGTGGAGCTGTCTCTGGGTGGAGGGGCTGGGGGCACCAGGGTTTACATTCCCCTTCCATCTTGATGGTGCAGATAGGACAGGGGTCAGGCACCATGGCCAGCCTGTCACACCAGCAAACCCCATGCTCCTGGCCCACACTAGCCCCTGATAACTCTGGGCACAGAAAAGCCACTTTAAAAGAGGAACTAAGATAAAAAAGCCAGCCCTAGAACTCTGAAAAACAGCAGGGGGAGCTGCTAGAACTCTCCACATTGAAGGGGCTGGTGAGCACCATATTTACATTCTCCAACCACCTTGATAATATGGATGAGGACCACACTAGTGAACAAGCTCCAGGCACCATAGCCAGCCTACCACCTCAGTGAGCCCCAGACCCCTGGCCCACACCAAACACAGCTTTCACACAAAGGTAGCCCCAGCATGGCACACACTGGGACACCTCTCATCCAGCAACTGCTAGAGCTCTAGCCATCATACGAAGGTGATACATAAAGGTGCATAAAGCACCTAGAAAATTCCTGGCCCACACCACTTCAGCCCCAGAGAGCTTACTAGGGTACTCCCAACACAGAGCACTCTGGGACCTCCTAGCTAATGCCTGCTTCAGCTCTAGCTGTCTTGCCATGGTACCTCCTGCAGGGAACAACCTGGGAACACCCAACCCATGCTCACCTCACCTCCAGCTGCCCTGCCAGGACACCTCCTACATGGGGCACTCTGGGACTCCTAAGCCCGCACCCCACCTCAGCTCCAGCCACCCCACCATGGGGCCTCCTGTACAGAGCA